GACGGCAATGGGTTTGGTTTGGTTTTTGGAGCCCTGGTGATGCAGTGGTTAACAGCTTGGCTGCTAACCAAAATGTCGGTGGTTCAAATCCACCAGCCGCTCCTTGGAAATTCTATAGGGCAGTTCTACTCTGTCCTATAGGGTTGCACTGAGTTGGAATCGACTCGATGGCAATGGGTTTGGTTTTTTGTTAAATAACATCCTATATCCTAGTATTCTGACATACCTGCATACAATCTGATAATACCTTTTAAGTCAGCAAATATGAAATTCAGGGCATGGAATGTTTGATAAGAGCTCAATCTAGCATAGTCATGGTGTCAATACAGGACACATAAGCTTTTCTCACGGGCACAAACAAATATGTCATAATTTTTTCTTTCAAAATATCTCTCAACTTTTTGCTGGTTTTCTTGCAAATTACTGAAGGGTCTTGTGAACATGTTTGAAAGCAGACCAAAAACAAAGGAAAAAAAGAAAAAATATATATTTTGCAAAAAAAAAAACAAAATCAGATTCTGGCTTGAATGTATCATTTTTGTATTTGTCAACTAATGTTAAAACGCTCCTAAAAATGTTATTTAGGAAGGCACAATTCGGTAGATCCATTTTTCCATTACAGCTTTTTCTAAGCAAGATCCCAAGAAACTTGCCACCTTAATTTTTTCCCTTAAAGTCCTTTAAGGGCTTCAAGGTTCAATCTGCAGTGCAGGTAAAACCCTCATTCTCAAACTTACTGAAGAATTAGCAATACAATGGACTGAGCAGAATATGAAAACTATTTTTATCAAAAGAGGAATGTTCTTATGGTACTGGGTTCAGAGATGAAAGAATCTAGAACGAGGGCTTAATGACTGGAAAATCAAGAGCTCTTCTTGAGGTGGATGGGCTTTTATTACCTAAGCTGGAAATTAAATGAAGGGATATGAGATAACATTACCGTTACCCTGAACATCAAAAACAGTAACAGCTAAAGCATTACAAATAAAGTATAGTGATAACTGAGTCAGTAAAGCTTAGTTACCATTTTAGGCTAGACACTAATCAGTACAACCTTTTGTAATTTCTAACTGTAAAAAGCATTTGGCTTCATATTTAAAATCTTTTTACAATATAAATTATATATACAATGTTATCCTGTAACTCAAACTATAATGTTCAAGTCTATAAAAACAATAGGTTTTTTTTTCCAGAGATGCCCGAAAGTCCTGCCACTCTCATTTCTTCTATTTATAAAAACTGACAATTTTGAAAATACTTCTAGCACAGAAGCTCAATGGTTCAACCAAAAGTTCAAGCCCTGTCAGACGGTTTCTCATCATGTATTGTGCTGTAATCTCTAACATCATATGGTCAAACACCCTGTTGCTTTATGAACATTTTTCAGGGCAAGAGTAATTAAAGACAATGGGATCAAGTTGAATATGTTGCTATTCTCTTTGAATACTAAATTGTGCTCCCATCCTAAAAATTAAAATGAGCTGCAGTAAGAATGAGAATATAAATATGTCCATTTGCACCATACACTAAAAACTAAAATCTAGAATAAGAGACTGAATATATTTGTTGACTGAAAAACGGATGAGAAGCAATGACAATTGGTTATGGTGTATTCTAATCTTTGTTAAAAGTGAAATTGTAC